TTCATAATAGTTCAGCACAGGGCCTATCCTGTGGGTAGGATTATTGGCTCTTGTGTTCTATCGCTCAGCTGGTACCAGAGGGTTGTGGGGTGTAAGGGGAGATGTGCTTTGGGCCATGAAGTGGGTGCCCTGCACAGCCTGAAGCTGACTTTTCTTCTCTGGCAGCACTTGCAAGAGCAGTTGGACTTAGACCTCTCACCCCTGGAGTACATGCTGAAATGCTACCCAGAGATCAAGGAGAAGGAGGAGATGAGGAAAATCATTGGCAGATATGGTCTGACAGGGAAGCAGCAGGTAAGTGTGAGCTGTTGAGCTTTGCTTTTTGCTCATTAGGGGAGTAGAGCTGCTGTGTTTTCTGTTCCTCCACTGATGTCTGACAGTGTGATACAGTATGCAGCATGGCTCACCATAGCATCAAAATCCAATCCTTTGAAATTGGAGAAAAAAATGGCTTACAGCAAGATGTGAGTTGGAACGGGTGACCCCCTCAGAATCTGGGTGAAAAGAGGACAAGTTGTGGTGTAGTGCTAGACCTGAGCACACTTTAATTGTAACTTGAACTAGTTTGCTTATCTCTCATTTCTGAGATGAATACCAGCCAGAAGTGTTAGAAGATCTCAGCTGGGTGTGAGGTCCCCTTGGTTCAGACAAGAGGCTCACCAGTGGTAACTAGTAAGTCCAAGCATGACGTGCTCCTGTACATCATACGTCATGTGTGTGACAGGAGGTGTCAATATCACTGCAGTTTAGTGTTGATTTTTGCATTGTTTTTGCCATTTATCACTGCAGAAGTTGAGAGTAGTTTGATGGTTATATCAGTGAACAGCAGTCAGACCCCAGTCAACTGTCCTTGCACATCTTTGGCACAAGCTGGGTCTTGCTGGGGAGACTCATTCTTCAGAAGCCCCTGGAATTCCCTTGTTCCATGGGTGGGAGAAGCTCAGCATAGGTATAAGGCTGACTGAACATTTGTCCTCTTGTGTCATGGAGCTGCTGGGAGCCCAGGGTGAGACCCAAGTGTTCTGGGTCAGGGTGGCAGGCTGTGAGGTGCCTGCAGAGCCCGAGCTGTGTCTGTGTTGGGCAGGTGAGCCCCATCAGGAACCTCTCGGATGGGCAGAAGTGCCGTGTGTGCTTCGCCTGGCTGGCCTGGCAGAACCCCCACATGCTCTTCCTGGACGAGCCCACCAACCACCTGGACATAGAAACCATAGATGCGCTGGCAGATGCTATCAATGAGTTTGAAGGAGGAATGATGCTTGTCAGCCATGACTTCAGACTCATCCAGCAGGTAACGAAAGTCATGAATTTTGTCAGAGCACCTTTTTAACACTTCAAGTAATTAAAACAAGGTGTTTTCAACTCACTGGCTTTTACATATCCCAAAAAGATGGGTGAGTGAAAAAAAATCACTGCACACAATTCCTTTACTGTGTTCATGTTAAACAATTATTGAGATAGCCCAGAAAAATATTAGGAACTTGAAATATAGAAAAAAACCTAACACAAATGTCAAATACTGATTTGTCAGCTATAGCTTTGGCTGCAACTTCAGGTATAATTTTTGTTTTTCAGTGTGTTATATCCAAGTAGTTCAGGTCAAGAACTACTTTTGTTTCAATTCCCAGTTTAGCAAGAAGGGCTTTTCTTCTTAGTGCATGAACGAAATCAGAAATGTAGAGAGGTCCAGGATTTTCAGTTATAAAATCTTGTATAAATTATGCAGAAAAAACCAAGGAAGATGTTTCTCTGCAGATGCTTTGTTTGGTAGTTGAAATGTGAGAGTTACTGAACTTTTCTTGCCAGACTTCAGAGAATAGTTTTTAGTTAACTTTATCATTCTGATAAGATTATAAAATGCTGTACTGCAAACCTCTCCTCCTCCTCCTCCTGTGCTTGCTCTCAGGTCGCGCAGGAGATCTGGGTCTGTGAGAAGCAGACAATCACCAAGTGGCAAGGGGACATCCTTGCCTACAAGGAGCATCTCAAGTCAAAGCTGGTGGATGAGGACCCGCAGCTCACCAAACGGACCCACAACGTGTGAGCTGAGGAGCCCCTGGCCCCGGTGCTCTGTGGGGCCGGCGGTGGCCACGAGTCACCCGCCCGCCGGCAGGAGCAGGACTGCTGCTCTCGCTGGCTTTGTTCTAGGATTGCTGCAATACTGCTTCCCCTCGACTTGCCTTGCAACTCTGTGTCTGGACAGAGCTCTTCTCTCCCAGTCTGGCTACATTTGGGCAACCGTTTCCATCTTAAGATGATGTCCCATCCGAGCCAGGCCCTGGAATCTGATGGCCCAGGGTCATGGCAGCAGCCGTCAGGGTGTCTGAGCTGCAGTGTAACACAGGTGGAGACCCCAGCCCAGCTTCTCCTGCCTCTTCCTTCCCAATTTCTGCTTCAGTTTAGATACTTCACTTCAAACTCCTCTGGCCTTGGTTTGTTTTTAACTATTATTTAACAGTGTAATTAACAGATCTGCCTGAGAATCCGTCAGTCAATAAAGAGGGAAGAACAATCTTGTCTTGTTTTGTGAGCTGTGGTAGTTGGGGCTTGCAGTGGCTGAGCTTTGAGTGAGGATCAACCCTTCCTGCTGAAGGTTCAGTTCCTCAGTACAGCCAAAGCTGTGGCAGAACTTGAGGGTTACATGAAGTGGTGAGTACTGAGCTCTGCAGGCACTAAGCAGTGAGCAGGACCCTCACACCTGGGACACCTCTGCTCAGCCAGAGCCAACGCTGGGTTTCCAGCAGGTGACAGAAGGGGGAACAAGCCACAGATGCTTCTGTTGTAGATGGTGGCAGACACAAATTGAAAGGGTTGTGGATATCAGAGTCAGAAACACAAAGTAGATCTATGGAACACCAGCATGTGTCCTCTGCAACACATTGGCTCAGGTGTGGCTTTTTCCTTCTCCCTGAATTGTCTAATAATGAGACTCAGTAATGTAGGATTTCTGGACTATGAGTTATTTTGTCCTTGCAAGTTTCTTGTGGACTAACCAACTAAACTTATTTTGTTTGCAATAACAGATTTTTGAAAAAGTTGGTGTTTAAACCTCACCCTGTGCCACAGAAGCTTGAATAAAACAAATTTTTAATTTATTATTAAAGCAATTAAAAGGTACTAAAGGGAAAGGTAGCAATTCAAACCAAATAGATTCTTTTGATCATGAGTTATCATGACACATGAGAATGGTTGCACTGGTCATGTGAAGGGTTCATGTAGCCCAGCAGCCCCTCCAGGACCACATGCTGCCATGGGAGAGGAAGGACAGGACAAACGTAGGAGCTGTGCTCCCTTGCAGTGCTTCCTCCAGTGCCAGCTGACTGACTTTGACTTTTTGGATAGAGTACTTCCTTGGTTTTCTTTCCTAAAGGGCCTATCGAAGTTGTGACTGCTGCTGTGGAAGCACTGTGTGTCAGTCATAGGACAAATGTCACAACAGGAGCTGCTTCCAGTAGATAAAGCAGAACCTTCAGGTTTTTCACTGTTTTTAGCAACGATCTGAGAGAACAAAAAAGTAGTTTCTGATAAAATAATGCAGATAAATTATTGTATAGTATATATTATTATATAGTATAAATGCTTCCAACTTAGTTCTGCAGAAAAGTCTAGATAGCAGTGAAAAGTCACTTGGATGAATATCTCACAGCGGAGTACTCAAAAGTTGTGAGGTGGAGTGGGGGAGTAAAAGCAACCCATAGGAAAGCGATTACTCAAAAAGCTAATGGGTCACAAGAGTTAAACAAGAATAGATTAATGCTTGTCTGTTTGTTCTGCTCTCTGGGTTGTAGGAAGTGTTGGTGAGTTGGAAAGGATTGCAAAGTAGCTCTGAAAATGGTGAGGTCAGGGAGTCCTGTCTGAGGCTACAGCTGTTCATCCTGCTCTTCCTTACTCCTACCAAAGACATGGCAACAAATCACTGCATTTCAGATCTGAGTGGCAATAATAAATGCAGGATACAATCTTACACTGAGTTCTTTGAGAATGTTAAATCCTGAGGAGGGCCTGGGGACACTGGGATGACGGCCAGCATGACAGGCAGTAGTTGGAGCATTCAAGAGGAGAGCTGTGTTACCTGTCTGCTGCTGCCAAGAGAGAGGAACTTCTTGGGTCCGGAGATATCTCTGATTTATAAACAAGGACCACAGGTACATGTTCAAAGCAAAAGCAGCTCTAGCTGCACTAGAGATCTCAGTAAGCCAAGACTTATAAAATGGAATCTATACACATGCTTTATGAGCCTTGATTTAACCTTCATTTGTTCTGTGGTGACACGTCATTGGACTGCACTGAAGCAGCTCCCAACAGATGTCGTGGAGCATTGATCTGAGGCAGCCACAAGCTTGGGCAGTGGCACTTAGAGCTGTTTCAGCTGGGACTTTTCTAGTCTTTTACAAACGCAAAATTATAGATAAATTACAGGAATTGCTCCTTAGTTGCTAGGATGGTCTTTGAAAGAAGTGGCCTAGAGCCTGCACATTTACTCTTGCCTGTGATCTAAAACTGAGGTTGGCTCTAACACAGCCACAGCCAGAAGTGACAGGTGCAGGGTTATGGGATTCCTTTGTCTATGTGCTGCAAGTAGGTCCATACACCACCAAAAACAGCACGAGGAGGAGCCAAGCCCAGCACACAGCAGCACGGACAGCCTCTGGCACATGCAGTCCAGGGAAGCAGATGGTGATTCCCCAAACCTGGGAGTTCAAATCTGACTCGACTGCTCAGTGGATGAGCCTCCACCCTTGCTGTGTAAAGTCTCCCTGTGCCTAATGCCAAGTGATCAGTTGCTGCTCCTCCACCAAAGGGCTTCCTTCTAACTAAACATTTTGTCGGAAAAACCAGCTGTGTGCGTATCACTGCCAGTGCCAGCCATGGCAGCAGCTGGGAAGGGATACAACAGCCCCCAGCTCCTTCATCACAAGAGAGCCCGCGTACTATGACCTGAGACCAGGGTCACACAGCTCCCCTTGCAGTGACAAGTCTTCCCCAACACCTGTTCACAGCTCTGTGAATCGGGGGGCAGTGGAATGTCCCTCAAAGTGGGGACCCTGTGTTGTTCCTTGTCAACACACGGCCTCTTACAAAGCACAAGTGGTGATGTCACCTGCTCCTTAGTCCCAGTATGAGTCCCTCCCATTCCCAGAGTATTCCACTGCCCTGTATCTTCAAGCCCATTCTTCTTCACAAAGAGCTGCCATGACCGTTCCAGCCTGTCCTACCTGATCACTAATGTTTCAGTTCCTGGGAGCAAGAAGCCCTTCTGTGACACTGAACAACCTGCCCTGCCCTGTCACAGTGACGGTTATTTGCACTCACGGAGAGTGATCAGGTGCCTCCCCATGAGGACAGGCCAGAGTACAACAGTTCAGTGAAACACTGTGGGCTGCACAAGCAGAAGCAGAGTCACTGGTTGATGAGTGGGTCTCCCAGGCTCACTCCTTGGAAGAGGTGATTTGCTCAAATGTACCAGTATGGCATGTGCCCCTAAGCAGGAGACTGTGCATGGAAGCACAGAGACTCCAGCGTGTCCCCCTCCTAGACGAGCATACTGGCACAATCCTTCTATGAGGTTGCTGTTGTGATGCCTGCTGAAATGTTTCCATTTCCCTCCAAAGGACAGAAAACTCTTTGTTCACTTCTCTACTCTGTTGCTGCACGCTTTCCTGGTTTAGCCTAATTCCTGTGTCATATTTACTCTTGCTGGTGTGATTGCTGGTTTACAAGACAGATCAAGTCCATATGTGGGGTGTCAGCCCTCCCCTGCCTCCCTCCTGGCATTCCAGGCCCTGTTCGGTGCAGCAGGTGGAGTCCCAAGAGCAGGTAGCTGAGATAGCAGGGGAATCTGGCTGGTGGGGAGTTTACAATGCAGTGACATTCCCTCCCATTACCGAGTTCCTGCTGAGGGCGGTACTTGTTCCATAGCACAGATGTGGTTCCACCCGTTTGACTCTGGAGTACCTTGAATACTCTAGTTCACACCCTTGCACCAAAGGAGGATCTCTTCTTTCACCAAACCCCTGGTGGACCTGGGAATGGATTTTCTCTGGCAATTTTTCCCCTGTGAATCTGATGCTACTGCTCTTGCCTCCCTCTTTGCCCAAGTTACCCTCAAACTTTTGCTCAGATCTGAAAGTTTAATTGAATCTGTCACTTCCAAGCTCCTCTCAGGCCAGCTACCCTTCATTTAATGCCCAGAGAAATCATCAGCCACAGGTGTGTACTGCTCCTGCTCCCTGGGGAGGGGCTGCACCTGAGGCAGGTTAGGGTCTGCAGCCTGTGCTATATAGCCAGCCCCATGGCACCTGCTGGTTGCTCTGTTGGAGGCTGAGATGAGCTCAGAACCTAGGAAGAAGCGTGATCATGTTTCCATATCTGGGGACAGAATATCTAAGAGGACACCTAAGAGAAAGGAAACCTTTTCAGTCTATATTTACAAAGTACTGAAGCAGGTGAGTAAATGTTTCTTTTCTGCTAGAAACTGCTTTATCCATGAAGCTACTTCTACCCATTGCATGTTAACACTATAAGAGGAAGGAAGGAAAGAAATCTGCTTTTTAGTGAGATGAAAAAAAAGGTGAGTGGGTACGGGAGACCCTCAGCTGAGGCTCAGAAGCTGGGGGGGGGAACAGATTCTGGGGGTGGGAGACAATAGATGGATCTGAAGCAGAAAGGGTTTCCTAGAGAGAGTAAGCGCTGCTGTATGGCTCTGCCTGAAGAAGTAATTGAATAGAAGTAAATAGGGCAGGAACAGCTCCTGCTGGGCTTGGGAGTAGGTGTTAAAATCTCTGGTGAGATGAGAAAAAGAAATTTTGGAATTGGCCATGCACTGTCTAGGCCACAGTCATCAGCATGAGCCTGTAGCAGATTCTGGAAACAGGGGTGTTTTCATCCCTCGGAGTCCTGTTTTCCACAGGGATTGTGGGGGGGCTCCCATCGTGCAATCCCAAAGCTGTTGTGGCATTATGGGAGCCTCTCTTCAGTCTAATGCAAGTGGCCCATGACTTGAGACCCTCAGGGTGGCAGCTGTGGGTCCCTTTGGTGTTAGAGTGCCCTGTCTGGGATGAGAAGTGGGGCCCTGCTTTTCTGGGGTGGCTGGGTCCCTGCTCCCCCCAGGGTGACGGGTGTGTGAGACAGTGTTTGGTTACCACCCGGCAGGTGCACCCAGACCTCACCATCTCCTCCAAGGCCATGAGCATCATGAACTCCTTTATCAACGACATGTTCGAGCGCTTGGCCTCAGAGGCCTCACACCTGGCCCAGTACAGCCACCGCTCCACCATCACCAGCCGTGAGGTGCAGACGGCGGCCCGGCTCCTGCTGCCCGGCGAGCTGGCCAAGCACGCCGTCTCTGAGGGCACCAAGGCCGTCACCAAATACACCAGCAGCAAGTGACCACCCGGCCCTAGTGAAACCAGCCCAGGCCCCACTTCTTGTGGAGTCTTGCGGGAGCTGGTATTCAGTCTTACTCAACTGAGAAAGCAAAGCCTCCTGTTAGCTGCCTGCAAATAAAAAAAGCATAGAAATACACATTGTGTCTTTAATTTTGGTGTTGCAAAGTGTGAGGCAGTTTGAACTGGGGGGAGGGGGGGTTGTTTGGTAGGGCTGGAAGAACAGCTGCTGTTCGAAAACAACCACACACAGGTAGGAGCAGGGACCATGGGGCATGCCTGAGGAGAGCTAGGGTTGTTCTGAGAAGCAGAGTGAGCTCTCCACAGTTCTCCAAACTCTTTATCCTGGTTTTCAGATTCCTGACTGCTAAAAGTTTCTGTTGTCTTTGACTTTCCTGTGGTTCTTCAAGTGCTTCCTTACTTGGTGGGTATCTTTGCCCAGGTTGTCAGTTGGTACTGGTCAGAGCAGAAGCTGAATCCCTCTGGGTAAGTGGAGTGTAGTTAGCAGTGGTAAGGGGGTTTCTCATGTTTATAAACTGTTTTCAAAGGTAAAGGGATTTTTTCTGATGGGTTTTTCCTTGGGTTTTTATTTTGGTTTTGTTTGTTGTTGTTTGGTTTTCTGTTGTTTGTGGTTTTTCCTCCTGGTGAAGGCTTTCTCCCTTTTGGGTAGGGGAGACAAACAAAGCCAAATGAGCTGGACTGACAGGAGAAACAAACTATCTTTTTTCTAGGACTTGTAGCCTTTCCCTCCACTTGGTTTGAAGAGAACTTTGTCTTGCAGGGCTCTAAACTGGGCTAGGGCTGAGTGTCCTGTGTTCTGTCTTGGATTATTGTGTTAATAACTGGCCCTGGCCACCTTTTTTCATATTCCCAGGGAATATGGGAATGATCCAGGGCCCTGCAGGCAGCATGAGCAGGTTCTCTGTCCACATGGAGCTTGGGAAGTCCTCAGGGTGAAGTGTTGTGTCCAGAGTGATGGTGCAGGCAATGACCTCCAGAGCTGTGGTGGGGCAGCCTGGCTGCCCCATGAGCACAGCACCTTCTTGGGGTGTGCAGGGCTGTCCTGAGTTCCTGCACACAGGTGCTGCCTCACTGTCTGCAGTGGAAAGGAAAGGTGTGGGGCATATTCTGGGTGGAGTTGTGGTGGAGATCATAGAGTAGTCTGGGTTGGAAGAGACCCTAAAGTCCATCCAGTTCCACTCCCATGCCTTAGGCAGGGTCACCTTCCATTGTGCCTGTCCAACCTGGTCTTGAACACTTGGGGCATCTGTAACTTCTCTGGGCAGCCTGTTCCAGTGCCTCTTCCCACCTTCACATTGGACTGGATGTCTGGCTCTAACATCTTCTGTTCACAGCCAACAACAGGGTAGGAGTAACCAGGAGGAACCAGAGCTGTGTTTAGTCCAAGGTGACAGTATGTGGGGCAATCCTGGATTTCACAAACTTGTGAGGTGATGCTGAGTCTCATGAGCTATGGACCTGTGATGGGTACTGATCTGCCTGGCTTGGCAGTGTGGGCCAGACAAGATGTCCATGATGCTCCTCAGGAGAGTATAGGAGGCAGCAGGGTTGGGGCTGGGCATCATCCTCTCAGACCTAGCCCTGCTGCTGTGGACTGTGGCTGGCTGGGGGAGGGAGGGAAGGGGCTGCACGGGATGCTCTGTTTCCTTTTGGCTGTAGGACAGCATTGAAGAGTGCTCCCTTCACCCTGCCAAGCCTGTAAACTGGATCTGAGCACAGGAGTGGAGCAGCACTTTGCCCAACAAGACTGCACTTCTTCTCCTTCCTGTGAGCCTTGTGGTGGCTGTGCTGTGGGGACAGGCTGTGTGGCTGGTGCTGGTGGCAGAGCTGCTGCATCAGGGCTGCCCCTGGGCTGGGTTTTTGGGGTCGCTCAGCTGGATGCAGCGATTGGAGACAGGTCTGGCAGAGCTCAGCCTGAGAGTGGGACGCTGAGCAAGCTCCACTTGCATCTAACAGGTGAGCAGCCCATCTCCTTGCCCAGTCTATTGCTCCCTAGGCCACGTATCTGTGCTTGCTCCCGTTTCCCTAGCAGTGGGATGTACAGCTGTGCTCTCTGTGAGACGAGGAATGCTGAGGAGCAGCCTGGAGCTGCAGTTCTGCTCCTGACCTGGAGATGGGTCTGTCTGACTACCTGATCTCAGATCCATTCCTGCAGCATGGGAAGGATCCCCGTGCTGCTCTGCTTGGAGCAGGCTGCCTGTGGACTGTGCAACTTCCCTCCCTGGTACCCTGGCTCTCTTGGCAGATACCCACACAACCAGCCAGGAAAGGTACCGATTTATGGCGAGATGAGTGGCTGTTCCCTGGAGGTGTCTGGTGGAGTATTAGCACTGAGCGAGCCCCCAAGGAGTAAGGCTTTAATGGTGCAAGTGCTTGATTCTCCAATACTTAAATTTGTGCATCCTACTTCATGTCACACCTGCCCCCTATCCTGTCACCGAAGGCTTGAAGAATGGAGTTGGTGAATGGCATCACATTCCTCTTACTAGATCCCTGCATTTCCTTGCAGATGGGGACAGGTAGTGCAGATGAACCAAGACTGAGAGGCAGAAGGAGGAGGTTGCTCTTGGAATGGGTGAGTTCTGCACTCAACCTGCCCAGACTGTCCCTTTCACATTTTCCATCTGGAGGTGGGTTCATCTCTAGGTATGCAGGGATCCTGCTGCTTGTCTCCCCACAGTATATTCCCATGGAGCTGCTCTGGGATGCCTGCACAGGATGTCATACATGGTCTTCCTGAGGGATCACTCTGTGCTGGCACAGATTAGCTTTGGTGAGAACTGCTCCTCAGCTCAGCTGTTTCCAGATTGGAGTTGTGGCTCCATGCCCTTGTCCTAGTGGATCCAGCGAGATCTGGATGAAGTTGTTTTAGGAGGAGGGGGTAGACTCTGCCATCCAGCACATATTCACGGGATACTGGTTGCTGTGAGAATGACCCAGAAGCACTCAAGTTGCAATAAAAGCAAAGCTTAACTTGGAGCCTATGCAGGCTCTTTTCCAAAGTATCCTATGGCTGCCTTACTTGATGTGAGTCTGTCCAGATCTGCCTGTGTCCTCACAAGTCTCCCAGGGAGGCTTTTTTAGTGCTGTAACACTGCAGTGCTGTCATGTTGCATGTCCCTGGCCCCCTGTCTGTGTTTTTAATGAGCTATGCATGTCTATGGGTTAGAAGAAGCCTCTTTTTTTTTGCCTTGGTCTGCTCTTCAACCTCTCAAAAAGAGTACTAGAGTGTGACAGACTGAATGACTGTTCATAAAAATATCATCAATGCCTATGTTCTGTTTTCCATTCTGTAAGAGAGCAATGGCTTAAGAGCATGTGCTCTTCCTCTCACATGGTGGAGGACCATGAGGCAGAGCATCCCTCTGGTCTGTTATGAGTGGAGCAGGTTTGAGGGGAGGGAGCTTCTTGGGCAGTGGAGGCTGGTAGCAGCATGCAGACCTGCGTGTATTCCTTTCCCCATGTTGTGTCCCTTGGCAACCATGCTGCCAGGTGGCTGCTCCGGTGCATCATTAGACAGTGTTCCAAATAGCAGAGGCCAGAACGGTTCAGCACTCAGAGGAAAATGAGCCAGTGATGGATAGCTCTAGTGATGCCAAAGCTGTTAAAATATGAACTTCTGATGTACAGCCAGAGTTCCAGCAAGGGACTCTCATCCTCTCTGTGCTTAACTGCTGGTGTGTGGGGACAGTGCTGGTCTGTGGCCCTTCCCTTCTCTGTTTAGTAGGGTGTTGTCCCTGAGTAATGGTAGCTCGTGGTGGCCTGGGCTCCCTGCCTGGAGGAAGGGAGATGAGTGATGATCAAAGGTCAGGCAGGCACTCCCCTGTGAGTACACACACTACTGCGTGAGGTTGTTGTCCCTAGTGCTGCCTGTACTGTAATGGGATTGAGGGTCCATGGCATCCTTGGAGTTGTGTCTCCATCTATGTTCTGCCCAGCAAGGATTGCTGCAAATAGTTTGTTTCTTTGGTTTTTTCTCTCTTTGTGCTCTGTTTGTTCTGGAGTCTAGGATGTAGCCAACAATAATGCTGCTTCCTTCATCTCCCCTGCTTGGGAATGTGCTAGGGGTGAGGGAGGTATTCAGAAGTTAATTATCATGGCTAGGCTTCGTGAACGAAGAAGTTTATTAAGTGAGAAAGTAAATCTTATGTTGTAACTGTCGCTTCCAGGGCCATATAACTTGGGTCAGGAGGCATCCCTGTTCTCATGTCCTCTCTGTGCAGCGCTGTATTACCTGCTGCTGAACTGGGGGCAAACTGAAAGACCTCCAGTGGGGTGAGGTGCTCCCTGACGTGGAGCTGCAGCCAGGAGAGCCCCAGGGGCTGACACACAGTGCCCCTCGGGCCAGGCTGAGTGCTGCTCTGGGGTCAGAGACAGAGGGATGGGGTCAAAGGGTGTGTTCTCAAGTAAGCAATCTGTGTTGAGCTGGTCCCATGATTGGTACCAGCGGTGTGCTGCTTGGCCTCCAACAAGGAGAACACTTCCCTTTGGCCCCATGCAGGCTGTGGGGCTGGAGAAGAGGGTGACATGGGCAGAGTGGCCCCATGAGGAATGGCTGCTGCAGGCCACACGCCGTTTTCCCATTAGTGAGTGTTTAGTTCAGCGTTTTAAATAATTGTGTCCTCGGAATGATATTTAAAATCCATTTGGGAGGCAATGAGGCGGGAAAGTGCCTGTGCCATTGTGATGACGCTGCGCAGGCCGCGCCACACATGCATATTACAAACTCGTTACAGGCTCGTTTACACGCGCTGCTCCCTCCCCACACCGCCGAGGCTCCCAGTGCTTCTCCCCCACCATGACTGCTGGGCTTGGCTCTGTGGAGACGTTTGTTTGACAAGGTAGGCCTGGTGTCCTCTCCAGCAGGAGAAGGGGCACAGCTGGGGTGCAGGAGTTGGGTGCTGCCCTTTAGGACAGGGATGTGTGGGGCACACCTGATGATGGGACTGTCACTCGGGTGTCGTGTCCTTCACTTGTGATGCAGAACTGCGTCACTTTCTGATGAGCCCTCAGATTTGTCACTGCAGACTCCAGACCCTGTAGCCCCAAGGCTTTCAGCTGCTGTGCTCTGAGTACCACTGGAAGAGCTGCAGTGCCTGTCCCAGGCTGGCTCTGAGGCTGAGGACCAGCCTGGGCTCTTGAATGTCTGTGGAAGCTGCATGAGCTGGAGGGACTAGGTGTGAGGGAGCAGCAGCTTCAGCAATGGTCCTGCGAGTGCTGTTTTGTGGCTGGACGGAAGAGAGTGGCCCCTCTATCTCTGTTCCTCTCTTGCTGCTGTGTGGGCATGCTCTGCTGTCCTCCCAAACCACACAAAGTAGAAATCCTGTGTGGCAGGACAAGGCTCCTGGTACTGCTTTATCCTTGTCCTGTTGGCCTTGGTGGTATGAACAGTATTCAGTCTTCTCCCTTTGCCTTCTCCCTCCTGATCATGTTCAGCTGCTTCTAGCCAGGGTCCTAGCTGTGGTTTTTCTTGGCACTGCCTCGTGGCCAAGCATTAGTGGGGCGAGGATCAAGCCCCCACATACTTAAGGACATGTTGTGTTCTGACACCTATTCCTCTTGCACAGTGGCCTGGCTGGCTGCTTTTTGGATAGGTAATGGAAGGCTCCGGCATCCTTGTCTCTGCCTGAGGGCTGTGGGCCCTGAGCATCCTCATTGTCTCTGTAGACTTTCCTACTTGGCACCTACGTGGGTGTTTGGCTTGGAGATGCTGAAGGGCAATAGGAAGGCTTTAGTCATTTCCAGGATTTGAGGGCAGAGCTGCTCATTGCTGTTTCTTCCTGGATAAACTTCAGCTTATCACTGCTCTGTGCAACTTGTGTCCCTGTGCAAGTGGGAGTTAGGCTGGGAGTGACTGACAGGTGCTGTGGCCTTTAGGGACGGCGCTCCTGGCTGGAGCCGAAGAACAGGGGAATGTTAGAGGTGAGCCAGGAGCTTGCTATGCTGAGGTCACCTTTTCTCCAGGTTGATGGTGAGCTGTTGAGAGAGGAGCCACAGATACTCAGAGTGGCAATGGAAGACAAGAAGGCAGTAAGGTCAGGAAAAGAGCCCAGTGTTTCAGGTACCACAGGTGGGAATGTAAGGCTTTTTTAAGTAACTGAGAAAGTAATTGAGACAGACTGTGGGTAAAGTTGGGTCTGACTCACCTGGAATTGACTGTTTGGGAAAGCCTCTGCTGGTGGTCCACAATCAGGCCCTTGTACTCTGGCTTTGGTTAAGGCCTCTGACACTGCAGCTAGCAAAGTTGCTGCAGTAATCTGTGTTGGAAATGGAAAAAGTGAATTTTGTAAGAATCTGAGGAGGTGAGAGAGAGGTGGACTGTCAGCTTGTATATTCAAACATCCCCTCTGGCTGGGTTAGAAACCCATTATTTCCAAAAATGCAAATCACAATCCCTGCTGTGTGCTGTCCTGGTCAGGGCCCCTTCCAGGAGCTGCTGCCTTGCTTGAGTCAGAAGTGAGTGAGCACGAAAAGCTCTTCAGAATGGCTTTTTTTTGTCACAGCAATTTGTTCCTGAGCAGCAGAGAGGATGTAACTGAGGATGTAACTCCAACCCATGTGCTGCTGTGCAAGAGCAGACCTGAGAAATGTTTGAAGACCTTTCCCTACCCACAAGAGAGTCTCTAGCCTGGCCCCCAGGTTTCATAGCTCTGGTTGTCCATGAGCTCAGTGGTGTTCTGAGGATCAGACATGGTCTAATCATTCTTTCCTTGGAGTCTAGTCTGAAGCTCTGTGAGATCTCTCTTCTGCCTTTGCTTACAGGAGGGACTCTGCGCTCCTCCAAAGCACAGCAGCTGCCACAGCTACTGCATTTGCCTTTTGCAGATTAGCAGGATCTGGCTGCTAGTTCCCCTTCTTGCTCAGGGCACAAGCTCTTTGGGTTAGCTCATTTTATCCACTGCATTGTAGAGGTGCATGCTTTGCTTTTGGCTCCACTCCAGCAGGTTTAACAGTGAAGCAAAACCAGGGTTTGTTAATGCTTAAGGTAGATAATGAAGATCTCATAGTTCAACTATGCAGTTCTACTGCATAGTATGGGCTCCAGTGGCCCTCTCTGTGTCATCAGGGCCTTCTAAAGGTGGCAGTATTTAGTACATCATGTTAGTGTATATGACCAGCCAGTATCTGCATAAAATCGTGGTTCCCTGGGTAGTCTCTAATCTGGCAGGGCCATGTGTTACATCTTTAGGCTGGTAGTTTACATAAGTGACTTTGCCAGTAACTAGATACTCTCCCTGTCTTCTGTGGGCAGACATGCTTTGTCCTGCCTCTCACTGTGTGTAAACGGACACTCCTGTATGGGGGAAGCATGACAGCTTTATTCCAGTGGTGGCAGCAGCAGGAGGCGGAAAGGTAGTTTGGAGAGGAACTAAGAGTTCTCCTTAGTTTCTCTTTTTCTCCGTCTCTGAGAGAATCCAGGCTTCCTGTACTCCAAGTCTCCCAAGTTAGGGCTGTTGTACTGAGCCCCTCACCTGGCCAGAGGAGACTGGCTATTTGTTGTGCTCTCTTTTTTTCCTTTCTGCCACAGTGTCCTCTCACGGGCTCTCTGCTTTGTTCAGAGACCTGGCAGTCTTTGAACAGGCAGGTTCAGAGACTTGCTTCTGTCTTCTGTGCCGTGACCCTCCTTTGCAGCCTGCTTTACCCCTTGCACGTTTGCTTTCTCTGCAGGACTGGTAACTGAAGACAGCCCTGGATAAAGAGTTGCTCCAGGCAGTGCAAGAGACAGTAGAAGTGAAGGAGGCACGAGGAAAACACAAGAAAGGGAAAAAAAAAATCAAGGTAACAACTCTTAGCTTTGTACTTTGCTGTCTTGGGACAGGACAGCTGTTTCTGGTTTTGGTATTTTGTGCGCAGAAGGGGACCAGACCACTGTGTGGGGAGAGGGTTTAGGATTGGTGTGTAGACAGAAGAAAAAAGGGCCCTGGGCATGTGTGTGCAAATATACTTGTCATGGGTTCTGTGGGGTGCTGAGCAAGCTGAAGTGAGTGTGAGTGAGGCTGAAAAGGACTCTCTAGGTGTGTCTGGGCTGTGGTTGTGCCTGGAGGGAGAGACAGAACTTGTGTGAAAATGCTTATAGTGGCATTTTCATTCCTAGAGCCTACATCAGTCTGGGAGCTCTTGGACCTGTTGGCTTTTTGGTTTTGCTCTAGAAACAGGACAGAAAGGACCCACTGAGGGCCCCTGCCTGACTCCTGGGCAGGTTCTGCAGCAAAAGAGGGGGTGAGGCAGGGCCTCACTTCCCCATGGAAGGGACTGGTTCTCAGAGCAGTATGTGGGACTCGTGAGGGTCTTTTTGTCCCTGTGGAGGTGTTTCAGGGAAGGGCTCTGTCCTCAGTCCCTTATGGCTTCTGACACTGTGTCTGCTCCAGATTTTCCCCAAGCTCTGTGGTTGTCCCCCCTCGTCTGTTCCTTTCTTGCAGTAGCACAGAGCGGAGCAGGGACTTGGCAGAGCAAACGAGCACATAGACAGTGATTCCAGGCTGCCTGCTACCTAATCTGTGCCTACTCTGTGCTGGTGATTGCACCCAGCAGCTGAAAATAAGGGAGGTAGTGATGAGGAGCTGCCAAGCTGGACTATTTATACTGGGTGAGTCAGGCCTATGCCTGAATCCAGCTGGACGCTGGGGAGCTGGAACCCAGGAGCAACCTGCAAAGGTCAAACTCTTGGACAAAGGCTCTTTCCTGCAGCAGCTTGTTTACTGTGTGGCTCAGAGTTGTCCAGTTTGTTCCCCGTGATGGACTGCACCTTCCCTCTCAGCTCTGCCACACAGCACTTGCTGCAGCCAGATCACTGGAAGTATCCTCCCCGTGCAAGGTCCCGGTGCCACCGCGGTGAGTGCAGCCTGAGCCCCGATGGCCAGGGCTGCCAGCACAGCCGCCTGGAGCCACTGGAGTGCCGGGATCTGCTGGTCCAGAATGCACTCTTCACTGGAGACCTGGACATGGTGCAGAAGTACTTCCCCAAGAGCGCAGCCATCAATCTCGTCATTGAGACCAGGGGTGATGTGCTGCGCTGGACTAGCAGGAAACGTGGTGGGTGTGTGGGGCTGGGACATGAGGAACAGAAAGTGCCCAGGATGTGGCCCAGAGGAAGGGCATGGGCTCCTCAGAAAAGTGTTGAGAGGAATCCCTGGTGGTGGAAGAGGTATTTGGGAAGAATGGCTTTTGTATGAGGAAGGAGGATTCCAGGGCTGTAGAACAAATAGTAGCAGGCTTGTTGAAGATGGCCAGTGACAGACCTATGAGGAAATGGTGAGAATAGGACCCTTGGAAGGGCTGTCAGTGGGGCACATCATCAGGATTGTCTGGATAGAGACTGCTGGGATAGATGGTAAATGTGTCAGATGGAGAGAGTGCCTGAGTGAGAAGGTGTCAGAAAGCTGTTCCATGAGATGGATTTCACAAGGGGAGCAGAAATCTAGCCTGGCAGAAAGATGGTGGAAGCAAGCTTGTCCTGAGTGACAGAAGGTAGGACCTGATCATCCTTGGTGTTTTCTCCCATCTGTACACCTCACTGTACCTTGGCCAGGCACATCTTGTGGCTACCATGCATGCTTCCACATTCTCTGGTCCCTTTTACTTCCCTCCTCACTGATGTCATCTATGAGTTTCTCAGCAAGCAGGGCAGCTGATGTGTTCAAGGGAGAGGTATACTGAGCAGCCCGGACATTCCTCTGTCCTTCCTTCTGTCTGTTAGTGATGTTGTACAGGCAGACTCCCAGAATTTAAGTGTCAGGTGTGGAGGGGTCATAACTGTCTTGTACTAGAGAAAAGGGAACAGATGATATAAAACAATCTTGCACAGAAATTGTTCTTATCACCAAGATGTGAAAAATCCAACCAAATTCATCAAGCACAGAACAAAAATGTGCTGCCAAATTTATCAGCTGAGGATGTAGAACAAAAACAAAATAAACCTTTGTGTTACCTGAGGCTTGGCTCTGTATCTCACTGGTCTGTAGGGGCAGATTCTTAAAACTGACCCAGCCAATGACCTTAACATTAGGTTCTAGTGACCTGGTCTTTCTCAAGTCACCCCTGTTGATATTTTAAAAAGCCCAGAGGAAGTGTAAACTGTCTAGTGTCACTGATGTTAACTGATACAGCTTTCTGCCTCCTTGGTGGGTGACTGGGAACCTCAACCTTTTCTGGGATGTCTGCTTCTATCTTTGGAGAAATATAAGGTTCCATCAGGTGAGAACATCTGCCAGATGCTTCCCTCTTTGTACCCTTTCACAGGCAGCATTTTAGTTAGTGAGGGTGAAGTCTGCTGAGATAGAATGAGTTGGAGACTGTCAGTACAGAACTTGCTCATTTATTTTCATTACTGAGAAGGGTAAAGTTCCCTGTCTTACACTCTGCTCTGGTCCCCTGGTAATTTTTGCTTGATGGTCTATTGGGGTCACTTAACTTGTGTTTAGCTGCATGATCTAAGTAGTTCTACAACAAAATTAAACTGAACACTTAGTAGCCTTCCATGCAGTTTGATGTGTTCTCTAGAACACGCATTGTGAACAAAACACACAGTGAGTTAGCAATGCACACTGTTCAGTGGGCAGGGTGGGTGTGTTCAGCCAAGTAGGGCCAGAGGAAAACTCCATCTCAGGTGACATGCCAGCAGTGAGCAACCTTGAGTGGGGAGAGTGCCTGAGGATGGAAAAGGAGCACTGAAGTCATGCAGGGGCTCTCTGCAAAGCTGGATATCAAGGAAAAGAAGAAAGGAGTCTAAAGGATAATTACCTTCAATATTTCCGATCCTTGTGACTATTTCTACCTCTCCTTTGGCTTTGATTATAAAGAGCTGTCCTATGGCTTGTTTAAAAGCCTAACTAGTGCCAAGAGCTCAGGTGGAACTGGGAAGTGGGTGTGCAATGCTGGAGATGTGCATGGAGCAGAGGGGTGGGCGAAGGCAAGGAGTTATGCATGGAACAGAAGGGTGGGTGAGGGTGTGGAGATGTGCACAGAGCAGAGGACTGATGGGGTTGTGCTGTTGTGGTCTGGGCAGCACTGGATGACAGCAGGCTGGTTGAGCATGAGACAACTTCCCTCTCTGCTGTCTTAGTGATGTCCTGTCCCCATTTCTACCCTTCAGGTCCCCCTGCCCTGCTTGGGGCTTTCCCTTCACGATGGGGCACTGCAGAGGTACTGCTATGTGAGCAGAGAGCCTTTATCAGCCTCTTGGCCTGTGTTTGGTCACAAGGTTTCCCAGAATAGATCAGCTGAGACCTGAGCTGTGCCCAACCTGTGCCAAAGAGGGGTGTGACATGTCCCCCCTCCCTGCGGAGCACCCTGGGCAGGCAGGCAGCCCCTCGGCCAGAACACAGGCTCGGAGCCTGGCTGGGGTGCACCAGCAGGTCCTGCCCTGGTCTCTGAGAAGGGTCTGGGTGCTTGTCATGGACAGCATCACAGGCAGAGGAGATGAGAGATGGGAGCCCATCCGCACGCAGCAGGTAGCTGGCCCTGCCCAGGTGTACTGGGAGGCCCTGTTGACTGGGGATCAGGAGATTGTGGCCGAGATCCTCAGCAACCCTCAGAACAACCTGAGCCCCAGTGCTGTGTTTGACACCAGTGACCTGGAAGAGTGGAAGAACTACCGGTTCAACCCCCGTGGGCTGAGTATGTGGGGGCAGTGGGGCTCAACCTGTGGTATGAGCTGTGGGACATTGCTGTTGTTGGAATTGTGTGTTACAGGAGCTGCTTGGGTTATGGAGGAGTGCAAAGGGAAGTGAGAGCACGGGGATGTGGTCAGGTTCTCCTGTGCATCTTGTGAAAGCGTGTGTGTGTGTCTGGAAGCATGCGGTGCACCCAGGAAACCTGGCCCCTCTCACAGGAGTTGTGCAAGGGCTTGGGAACTGCTTGGGTTACCCACGGGGCAAAGAGGAGTCAATCTCTGTGACCAGCCCTGCAGCCAAGCTCTGTGTGCCTGTGCTCGGTGTATGTGCTGGGCTGCTGGGTCCTGTTGTTGTACTGGACAAAGCATGGTCACAGCCCAGTGTTAGGTCCTCCAGATGGTTCAGCTTCAATCTGGACCTGGGAAACACAGTTGACCACATGCTGCTTCTGTAAGAAGGAGCTGAGAGGATGTAGTGCTGAACATGCTGTGCAGTCTGGGCCATGTCCTCCAGCCCAGCCTGGGTGGGCAGCCAGAAGTCTGGGTTAAGGAGCCCTTTTCCTGTACCATCTGCAGGCTGTTTTCCAGCTCAGCGATGCTTCCAGTTGGGTCAGCATCTTTGAGAGCTGATGCATTTCAGCCCCTTGCTCTCCTGGGCCCTAGATGTCCATCTCTGCTGAATCTTGCTGTCTGCACCCTCATCAGGACTCAGCTGAATCTTCTGTGTGTGCGGTAGCTGGCTTTGACACCTCTCTGTTTTACTGCCTGGTTCCTTGTGTTTGTGATGCTTCATGCATGGTGCTCATCCCAGCCACCTCACTGCCTTCAGCCCCAACGGTGCCCCAGGCCCTTCTTCCACTGTGCTTCTGACAACAGAAACCCCACGTGCCCACCTGGGCTGCAGGTGAGGAGCACACTGCCTGGGAACAGCCTCTGCCCTGGGCTCCTGCTCCCTGGAGCTCCATGTCAGCAGGGCTGTGAGGCCTGAGAGCCTTCCACAGACCTCTGCCTTTGGCTGGCCACTCCAAATACAGGGGCCTTGCAGGGAAGGGAATTGCAGTCCCTTGAGGAGAAACCCAAGTCTCTTAGGGGGGACATACATGAGGTACCCTGTGGGAAAGGGCAGGTCTTTGTGTACTGCGGCTGGATGTGGCTCCCTGACCTCTTTTTCTTTGCAGGACTGTGGTCTCTGAGCTATGAGCAGGAGCTCACCACGCCCCTGCACATCACGGCCAGCCGGGGCTACACCGACTGCCTGCGGCTCCTGCTGCTCCGGGGCGCTGCCGTCGACTTTGCCCCGGGGGGCAAGACGGCCCTGCACGAGGCTTGTGCAGCCGCCAGCACCGACTGTGTGCGTCTGCTGCTCAGCTCCGGAGCCGACCCCGAGGCTGTCTCTGAGGATGGCTACAGGCCCCTGCACCTCTGCAAGAGCCCAGACTCCATTGAGTGAGTTCTGCCTCGGGGGCACAGCTGGTCCCCCTCCCCCTCGAGTCTCATCCCACATAGGAGGGGCCCCTCCTCATCCCTACTGGTGGGTGCAGCTCAATGACATGGCCTTGATGCCTGTTCCTGGGCCAAGATCACCTCTGAGGTCATACAGGTGACTGCAAGCTCAAGTCCTCAGCTGACACAGCTGAGCCAGGTGCTGCTCTCTGGCCATCCACCGGCACGGAGAGCCGATGGTCACATTGTGTGACTCAGGGCATTCCCATGCAGAGCCAGTGGGCAGATGAGCAGATGTCAAGTGGGACAACACTTTAAGACTTCTGTGCAGGAGTTAGCTTGGATTAGGCAACAGTATCTCTGCTCACCAGTCATCACGGCTTAAAACTGCTGCTCCAGGGCATGAGGAGCAGGGATTTTTCACTCTTGGGACAAGTGAAAGCTGTGGGATGGTATGGATGTGGGGGCTGGGAGGTAGGATGGGAGATGGAGATGAGTAGGTCACCAAGTCACTTTGGCCCACGCAGGTGTGTCCGGCAGCTGCTGCAGCATGGTGCCAGTGCCAACAGTCGGACAGAGCAGGAGGATGACACAGCCCTGCATGTGGCAGCACGGCACGGCCTGGCAGAGCACGTCCAGCTGCTTCTGCGCCACGGGGCAGAACTGGAGGCAGAGAATGAGGAGGGACAAACACCACTGAACGCTGCCTGTGCTCAGCACCATGAGCCCCAGGACATGGACCACTACTACCGGGTGTGCCAGCTGCTGGTGGAGAGTGGTGCCAGCATCAACGCTGCCGATCGGGACAGGCAGCACCCGCTTCACCTGGCCTGCAAGAATGCTAACGCTCAAATCACAGAGCTACTGCTGGCCTGGGGTGCAAACGTCAATGTCATGAACTACGGCGGCAACACAGCCCTGCACAATATCCTGCAAGTAGCTGCTTACAAACTGCAGCATCGCCCGGAGCTCGTGGTGCGAGCCCTGCTCAACCACGGCGCTGTCCGCATCTGGCCGGGCTCCCTCCTTAAGGTGCGGAGAGTGGTGGGAGGGGAAGGCTGTGGACATCAGGGCCCAGCGTGAGCGAGGGTCACAGCAGGGTTCGTTCTATCGCAGCCTGCTTGCTGTCCTGCTCACTCTGCCCAGGGACTGGGGAGAGAGAACCGTCATTTCTGGTATGGGAATCCCTGATGACCTCCTGTAGGACTCTCCTGCTTCTGTCTGCTAAACTGTGTGGACAGTACTCACCCGGTTTCCATAATCACTTGCTCTGGACAGTGTTGGCCCTTTTCCTCTGGAGGTGTTTCCTCTCAGGGGCACACCCTCCAGCTCCTGCTGTCTCTGGGAGACACCAGCAGATAAAGGGTTAATTTCCTGTCTTAATTCCTGAGCAGTGCAATAATTACCCAGCCCGGAGATCAGCAGATTGCTCTCCCCTTTGGGAAAATACAGGAAAATCAACAATTAACACTAATTAATCTCCTATTAACGCCAGATAATGAGGATCACTGGTACAGCCAGAATAGACTCTGACAGCTACTGCTGGCCAGGGCTGTGGGGAGTGGGAGCCCAGAGCCGGGGGGATCTGTCTCTGTGCGACTGCGCCTGGGTGGGCTGTGCTCAAAGGCTGCACTGCTGTGAGGTACGCAGAGTCAGTGTGTCACCTGTACCTGCATGGACATGGGACACACCAGAGACACATTGTACAATAAGTGTGATGTCTTCTGCTGCTCTGTGCAGCCTCTGGCATGGGCACAACACTGCTTAGGACATGGGGACGGGATGTCTCTGCAGCCCTGTGCCAAACAGGCACAATCCTGTATTCCTGAGACCCAAGTGCAGCCCTCAACAGAGGCACAGAGTACTGTGGTCTAGCTGCTCATAAAACAGGTGTCAGTCCCTGACTCAGAATGGCTCATGCTTCAACCACCAAAACATGAGGAAAGAAGCCTGGTGTACAGCAGAGCATTGGTGCTTACAAGCTAATTGCAGCAGTGAGGCTGAGTGAGATCATCATCCTAGTCGCGTGCACTGGTCTCTGTGTCTGAGGAGAGGCTGCGGGGACCCAATTGTGCTGAAAGCAGCTGTGCTGTGCATGGTGGGTGATGGCTCAGTCACCCTCTTCAAAGGAGGGATGCTCTGGAGCTTCACACCTGCTTTGCTCTCCTGGGTTGGCACGAGGGAAGGATGTGAGTTCCCCAGATTTACCACATCTGGGTTTGAGCAGCATTCTAGGAGGTGACAGTGGGGCCTGCAGGACCTTACCTGACGGTGCTCACCTGCTCTCTCCCTGGCAGGTGCTGCGGTACTGCCACACCTGCCCACGCGTCATTGAGGCCCTGGTGAACAGCTACACCCACGTGCGCGTCTCCGAGGACTGGGTGGAAGCAGTTCCGGTGGAGGTCGTACAGGTGAGGGAACAAGAGCCTGCTGTTGGCTGGAGAACACACGTCCGGGATCTGCAGATGGGGGAGCAGGGTCAACTGGGGCTGGTGCGGGTGGGCAGGGCTGAGGCTGGGCAGGAGATTGCAGGACACAGGGATGGCGCTGTTGGGGACAGGGAGGATGCACAGTAGTGAGTAAGGCAAAGGGGTGTCTGGTTCTACCTCTGCTACCAGGATATCTTCAGTTTTTTCTGCCTGTGGTCCTCTCTTCCCTCTGTAGAAATACCCACTTTTCTACCAGTCTCTCTTCTCCCTGGAGCACAGACCTCGCTCCTTGCAGCACCTGGCTCGCTGCACCCTCAGGACCCTCCTGGAGGGCCGGCTGCTTCTGGTCCTGTCCCAGCTGCACCTGCCAAGTGCCCTGCACCAGTTCCTGCTGCTCGGCTTCGAGGATGTTCTCTACTAAGGACTGTGGTACCAGTATTGCTGTGCTTTTCTGCAAAGATGATCCACCCCCACTGATGCAGTCGGTGCCTTCCCAGCTATGCCCTTCCCCTCAACCCCTCCTGCCAGGCCACATCAGCCCTCTGTGCCAAGCCTGTCACTGTGTCCCAGTCAGTCTTGTGCTCTGCCTTATGCACCTGTTTTGGAGCATTCTGTTTGTCCATATTACTCAGGAGAGACTCCAGAATAAGAAAATGAAGATATGGGGATTAGGGCATTTTGTGGGACTAGGAGGAAGTACACCGCATGGATCATAGGCTTAGTTGTAGGATATAAGTCTCCCTATCCCAAATCTAAAAACTCTAACCTTTACCAGGCAGCTCTGGTGCCTTGGGCAGTTGTTGGGATCCTGTCTTTAGTCAAGTTGTTTACAATCTGTACCCAAAGGTACAGTTGTACCTACCTGGGTACAACTTCTGCCTTGCCTTGAAGACTGTCCTGACAGAGCTCAAGCGTGTGCTGTGCAACGGGTGGTGTCATGTGCACTTTTGGACCTGTGAACCTGCTTGTCAGAGGGAAATGTGTGGTGGGTGTGGAGCTGCGGGTCTCAAACAACCCCTTTTCGTGGAGGTACATTGTCTGGGTTACCTGGTTTAGCAGCTTGGGTAAGGACAGCAGTGCTTGTGCAGCACTGAGGACCCGACTGCAGGGTGAGGAGGAATATTCCCTGAGAACTCTGGTCTCCTGGGCACAGAGCAGCCACCCCTGAGCACTGTGTGGGGCCGTGTGCTGCTGCCTGGGTTGCACCACACTCCAGACAAAATAAAGGGACACAGTTGTAAAGAAAGCAAAGTACCAGCTACTCTTTAAAGATCTGCTGAGAGTGAACTCCATTCCTGCTTCTGCCTCAAGGAATACCTGAACTGCTGTGGCTGGCACAGGTACCCAGAGCAGCACTGAGGGTCCCTCCTCTCACTGCACTTGTCCTGCAAGGCCTCTGTTTGTGGCCATGTCAGTGCCAGGACACTGACAGCTCTGAGGGTGAAAGGGTTTGACAGACCCAATGCCAGTGTCTGTTCCTGCCTCTGTGGGGACATGGGGCGTAGCTCTGTGCCCCCAGTTATTGTCACCTTACACAGCCAAGGCCCTGCTGCTCTGAGGTGGTGAGCCCAAAATCCCTCCAGGAAGTTCATCATGCCATTCCTGATGCACCACAGCAGGAATGCTAACAGGATACAAGAGGGATGTGTCTACATGGTACAGGCACACAAAAGGTGTTGGGAAAGCAGTTGTGGCTGCCTGTGTGTAGGTACTACTGCAGTAGTATATCTCAAAAAGGTTTAACGATGTGTTTTACGTCATCCAGGGGCAGAGAGGTAAGGTGTTGGCTCAATGTGACAAACCATGATGGGATGAAGTAAGCAGGGGAGCCAAAGCTTTTAAAATACTGTGATAATGGCCCACCCTCTCACCACAGACCAGTAAGTGCATTTCCCTCAAACCAGTGCAGGAACCCACCCTGAAGTCACCTCCTTCCTCTGGCTGAGCTGGCTTGTCTGCTCAGGTGATTTGTTTATAGGATCAGGTCCAGTGGTCTTGTTCCCAAAGTCTAATCAGCACTTTAGAGAGTTCATTTTTAGCCAGATGATGTCTGTGGCTGGACAAGGAGCAGAAACAGGAGGTCCTGTTCCTTTTGGTGGCAGCAGAGTCTGGGCTTGCCTTAGCCTGACCCAGTGTCCCAGTCTGAAGGCAGAATGCAGAGCAGCACATGTGGCAGGTGTACTGTCCTTCTCTCCAGCACTGTCCCTATGCCTGTGATCAGTAAAGCATGCTCAGGCACTAAAATAATATCACCTTAAGGAGAGGGAAAGGTTGAATTTAATGGTTTGCTTTATTTTGTAGTTGTTAACTTGCAGCTGTTAAGCATTCCTGGGGTCTGGCTGGCTGCTTTTGCCAGTTCTGAGGCTGCTCTGCACTGGGTGATGAGGACAGCTCCAGTGGGAAGAGGAGAACCCACAGGGTTTGGTTTCTGCACACACGAGGGCACAGGGAGCTCCTGCATGAGCAAGCTGGCCAGCTCCTGGCACATCCCAGTCCTCCTTGGATGAAAGTGTTATGGCCCAGACGGGCACCTGCTGCAGTGAAGGACCCGTGTGAGGCTGCAGGTGCCTTTCCAGGGCTCTTCTCAGAGCCACCAGGTTTGCAGGCAGGGTGTCCCAGTGTGCGTGGGAGGGCTGAGGTCAGAGGGCTGAGAGGGGGACAAGCCATCCCTGGGCACAATCTTCATAGACTGAATTTTGTCTGTGTTCCCATTGAAACTGAAAGGGCATGAGTTCATTGTGTGTGGTACCGCGGGATAACTTCAAGGAATGTGAGGCTGGTAGGAAAAGGAGAGAACCTTTTACAGAGGGACCAGGATTACTGGGGGAAAAAAACCAAACCAATTCCAATCAACCCACTAGAAAAGCTTTAGCACTTTTTTCAAGCTGAAACAAGCAGAAAGGTTTGAGCTAAGAGCGGACTAAGAGCAAATGCTCCAAGTTTAACTCAGTTATGCTAATTTATTAGCAATTGATTTTCAAAAACAATTACAAGAAGAGACTTAAAAAGGTTTAATGGCCCAGAGCACATTCTGGCAATTTAACAGGCTCTGCTATTTTCTCAGGTGTCAGAATGGGAAATTCCTAATGCAGCATTGGGTGTACTTGCTCAGACAGTTTTGCCAGGAAAGTGTAACCATCCTGAGTGGGAAGGTTGTGGCCTCCACTGAGGACAGCGAGTGTGAGGCATTGTTAGCACAGGGGCATGTGGTTCTGGTGTGTTTTTACCAGCTGCCACAGGCACAGGCAGCTGCTGGATTTGCTGGGAATGTGTCTTAGACAGGCTACTGCTCCTGCTTCAGCATCCAGCTGGGTTTGTCGTGGCAAGAGGCACCCTCAGGACTGCTGGAAAGGTGCAAGTCTGTTGCTGCATTCTCAGTGCAACCATCTGAGTCCATCTGAGCGGTGTGCTCAGGGGTAAAAAGTTATCCCAGTTCTAGATAGAAGTTTCAATCCCAGTCCAGCTGCAGCCCCTGGATCCTGCTCTGACCCTCCCTGTGGAGCCAGAGCACTGCCCATCCCTGGTACCCTCTTCTGAGAGATCAACAGCTTCCCAACCTCGAGCACCTGCTTGACTCTTACTTGATCTTCCTTGTTCCTCGTGAAAGAGCGTGGCAGGCCACAACAGGAGCAGACTAGTGAACCATAGTGATACTTACAGAAGGAAGACAGGCAAAGCAAGTAGAGAAAAGCTCTTCCCCAGCATGTCCATCCCCACCCTACACTTGTAATCTACATTGTAGTTACTTTTGAGTCAACAAGGCAGCTTTGTATTTATTGGTTGTGGAGAGATTTGGTTTTTTCTGCCATAAATTTGAACGGTCACTTTTTGGACCTGTGTATGTTTGAGCATTCTGATGTCCTTGTGGCAAGGAGAGCTGAATTGCACAGTGTGTTGATCACCTCCTTTTATTTATCTTTCTGCTGTTACCGTTGTGCTTCATTTGATGCCCTTTAACTCTTGTTTTCTAAGAATATATTGGTAGCTATCATCTGTTCCTCTTCATCATATTATTCAGAACTATACAGATCCCTGCCCCTTCTCTCCTTACTCGGGCTGGAATTCTATTCAGCTGTGCTGTTCCTGTGTGGAAGCTGTCACCCAGCCCCTACTATACCCACAGGCTTTCCCTGGGCTGTTACTGGTCCCAGTGCATCCTTTGGAGATGGAGGGAGGACAGGGGGTTTTGCTGTGATTGTCTAAGGATTGTTCTGTTGTGGATGTGAATGCTCAGGACCTTTGGATTTGTATTTGACGTCACTTGACCATTTGCACAGCCCCGGAGGAGGCCTGGGCAGTGCTGCCCTGAATTCAGTGTTGTCTGTGCTCAGGTGGCACATGTCACAACCTTTAATGTTTTTCAGACTCATTACTGTCTGGGATGCTGTTCTTGATTTAAAGTGAAGCCCCATTCTTCTTTCCTGTATGTTGCACCCTATACTTGGAGGCACAAATAAGCCTGTTCATGTACCTGGTGTTTCCAGCAACCAAGATCAGGTTGTCTTGAGTAAGTGTCACACATTACTTTTACCATCCCAACAATTCCTTTTTATCCACTCCAGTAATTTTATCAGCAACTGTTCTTTATTTCTCACTGATTGCTAACAACTTGTAACATTGATATGCAAAGAGAATAGAGCTAGAAATACACCTGTCAAATGGCTGTGTAGGATAAGTCTTCTCAGTCACCCAGCTCTTTTGGATCTCTTAATGCTGAGCCCACTGCCTGCAGCATACAGCTAATTTTTCATATTAGAATGTCCTGCAGAACTAAGTCAAATGACTTACAAGAATCTAAGCATACTCTGTCTCTCATTAGCTGTTTCAAACTTCTAGGCTTACAAAAAAGTTACATAAAATCATTTGCAAGTATTCTTTTCTGAATTAGGTTAAATTGGGTTCTAGCTTTTGCTAATTTACCCAGGACATCCTTTAGTTGCTTGTCTGTGATTGGCTAGAGATGTATGTTGAACTAACTGGTCTGTAGTTTCCTGGATATCCATGTGAACACTTGAATACTGACAAGACATCGGATTTTTTCCCCCCAGTAATCTTAAATTCCCCAGTGTGCCATGATTTGTTATAAAGAAAAAAATAAATGGTTTAGTGAATTCATTAGCCAGTTAAATACTCTTGGATGTAAGCTCTTCTCCTGCATATTATAAAAATTGTTACTTACACAGTTTAGCATCTTCCTTAATTACTGATGGAATAGAAAGTATTTCATTACCACTGTAAAATATGAATATTACACATTGTTGTTTCAAATGCAGAGCAGAAATATTCACTCAGTTCTTGACTTTCATTATGCAGAATGTGTGTGGCACACAGTCACCTGGGGCTGGGGCCCAGCACCTGCAGGTCTCTGCCCTCTCTGCTGCTGGGGCATCCTGCTTCGGGGTTGAGGTGTCAGAAACTTTGAGAAGTTGGAGAGGTTCAGAGGAGCACTGTGGGTGGGTGATGGGCTGCAGTGACTCCTTGGCAGCAGGAGCTGCAGAGGGGTTGGGGTTGGGCACACGATGGTTGCTCCTTGGAGTCCTGTGTGCAAGCGTGGGCTCCTGTTCTCCAGTGCCAGGTTCACAGGGTGGGAGGGGCTAGGATCCCACTCCCGTGGAGAACTGAGGGACCCTCTATCACCTCCTGCCACCTGCTGCTGGACCCTGCTGTGCCTTGCCAAACCTCCCTGCAGCGTCCATTCAGCACTGCCAGGCTTTCCGAGTGGCACTTGGAGGTAAAATTAGACCCAGTGGCTGGAAATTGGAGCTGGGCAAACACAGAAATTAGAATTAGAAATGAAACACATTTTTAATAGCAAGTGCAATTAATCTTCTAGTTAATTGCATCTTAGAACAGCTTGTCATGGTGTATGTAGATTTCTCATCTCTAGTTTTTTTTAAAATCGCTGTAGGCTTTGCCCTAGCCCAGAGCAGGGTTCATCCTGCACAGTGGTCAGCCCAGTCCCAAAGAGATCAGACTGATTAATTACAGATCTGTGAACCAGTCTTGTTCCTCTGCACTGCGCTGTCACTGCCGGGACTGTGTTTGGCCCAGGATAATGAGCCCCAGTTTCCAGGATAATGAGCCCCAGTTTCCCTTCCCAACGCTGCTCACTCCATTGACACCTCATTGACACCTCTGACTTCCCCTTAGTTTCCTTCATTTTGGCCCCATTGGTTTGTACTGGTTCTGTCAGCTTTGAGCTCTGAATCTGCTGCCTGCACTGCTTTCTGGGAAAGACATGCTGGAATAAATGGTGATGCTGCATTTATAATGTTGCTTAAATATTTGCTCTTACTCCATTTCTCTCACGAGCTTTAGCTTTGATATCTCAGCTGTTTGGCAGTGATGATGGTGTTTCACCCTGTGGGATGGGCGGTGGTTGGGGGTTCCAAAGGACCTCAGGGCTGGATGTGACACTCAGAGGCAAACCCCGTCCTCTCCCCAGCACACAAGCACCTCAGGGGCTGCCCCACGACCCTGGCTGTGATCCTCCGTGGGGTGGGGAGGCACCAGGTGCCCTGGCTCAGGGCAGTAGGAACCTCTGTTCATCGCAGGCTGTGACCCCTGACAGCAACAGTGCCCCTCTGATCAGCCCTGTGCAGAGCTCTGCTGGGCTCACACTGGGGCTTGCTTGGCCCAACAGTAGCTCTCCCAGTGTCGAGGGCTTCTGGTCCTTCCCCCTTGGGACTGTGACTCCCAATGCTTCCTCCACTTCTGTTTCCATCCAGAGGTGCTGCAGCAGATGCTGACGGCCCTGAGGTGAGCACAGGGACATGTTCTGCAGGTGAAACCCGGGGGGCAGACCCCTTTTGCACAAGGGTGCTCTCTGGGTTGTCCGTCCCTGCCCCCCCGCAGCCGCTTGCCAGGAGTGAGTGGTTCAGGTCGCTTAAGGAATTACCAGCAAAGGTGTCAGCAAAAGCAACTTTAATGTAAATCAGCAAAAGCAGGTTTGATATAACTTTGCAGTGGGAGCAGAGGGCATCAAAAATGGTCAGAAGACAAGGAAATGCCCAACAAAAAGTGCCTCAAGGACCTGGAGCTGGAGAAACTTGAGTGGTGACAAAATAGCAATATCTAAATACAGAAAAATTACCCAAGCACCTCTCCTACAAGGAAAGGCTGAAGGAGCTGGAACTCTTCAGCCTGGAGAAGAGAAAGCTCCAGGGGATCTCATCAGTGTGGATAAGTGCCTGAAGGGAGGGCACAAAGACAATAGAGCCAGGTTGTTTCCAGTGGTGCCAGTGACTGGACCACGCTCCCAGCTGAAGACAGCATTAGTCATGTGCCAGCCTGTATTGTGGATGGTGCTGCATAACCCCTTTTGCTCTGAGTCCTGCATCCTGCACTCTGAAAATATCAGGTTTGCTCATAGGCTCTTTAGTTCTGTCAGAGCTATGAGACATGTCCATACAGTGACCTGCGGATGACGGATGTCTTCTGAACAAAAGGATCCAGAGCACTCTGCTCAAGTAATTAGCAGGGCAGAGCAGTGCACTAGGAGAGAGCTGCTTCCAGGCTAAACGTCCAAGAGGTACCAGTCCGGTGCCTTAGTAGCCCCATAAATTATCTGAAGAATCTGGCTAATATCGCTTTCCCAGAGCAGGATCCAAACCCAGGACTGAGGGATGGCTTGGCTCTCCTAAGCAGAATAATCCTTGAAGAGGTATGTCAAAGGATCCTACCTTGTCCGAGACTACAGGAACAAAAATTTCTCCTCTGAGATCTTGTCAACAGCAAACCCATCCACCTGGGACTGCTCTTGCTGCTGCTAATGAAGATCCTGGGTTCTTACTGCTCCAGGTATGGCTCTGCCAGGTCTGCTTCTGAAATGTGTTCCCCAGGTGTGAGTGCAGGTTTCCATAGCCACTGTAGACGACTGTGACAAGTTTTGCTGTCGGAAGCTGAAGACAGAAGCACATGGGGCAGCCCTGCAGTCAGGGAGAGCCTGTGGGACCATGTTTGCAGAGGCCAGCTGGGGCCTCCTGGGTGCTCCTTGCCCGTGAGCTCTTGCCCACCCCAGGCTGTGTGTGGCTGCAGGGTCTGATGGACCATGTCATGGGCACATCCAATAGCAGAGTCTGTGCCTGGCAGGAGCCCAGCTTCAGTCAAACAGCACTACGGCCATAGCCAGACTAATCTCTAGATTTCCCATACTTTGAGTAAATAATTTTGCAACGTTACGCTTGCTTTTAATATGTTTAGCAGCTATATTGCAGGAATGCCTCGAGGCTGTGACTAGATTTAGTCCTGTTGTGCTAGATTCCATGCAGAGATCGTAAGTGGAGCAGGTAGAGGCATAAAGTTAAGGCTGCATAGCAGTTTCCATTAGGAAGACCTGCTTTCATTTGCCAGTCAGTCATTACACTTTAACTGTAGCAGTTGTGGTTGCCATGCTCCGTGTCTGTCTCAGAACTTTTCCCATTACAGATACAGCAAAAATTAATTGGCTTCTACCTGGCCAACAGCCGGTGCACCAGGAATACACTCTAGACTCCTCACCTCAGAGAGGAGAGCTGGCCCAGATGGTTCTTTTTCTGCACAGTAGCCTAGGATCAACTTTTCCCAAATTACCAGCCTCTGAGGATCCCCCTTTTGTTTTCCAAGCAGCGACATTTTTAGAGGCTGATGGTTTTCTCCTAAGAAGCCTCTGCCTATGCTGAGCAGATTGCAGTTAGGGCAGATCCACTGTGCTGGCCAGACAGGTCATGCATGGTCTTCAGCACAGACACTGTGTCCCAAGTGTCAAGTGTTGAGCAGGACACTTTCCAGTCTTGCCTACTGACTCCAGAAAAACAGGCAAATGGACTCGTCCATGATCATGTGTCTGCAGCAAGGAACGGCAAAGAGGAGGAGGAGGAAAAAGCTTCAGCAGTTCTAATGCAGAAACCAGAGAAGAGGGATTGAAAGCAAAGGCAGACTGAGGACAGAGGCAGTGACATAATGGAGGATGAGATGGGCCAGGCTGATCTGTGATTGCTGAAGGTGCTGCTGGCAGAGACTGGACTTGAATTTGGGTCCCAGCCTGGTGAGACTCAGAACCAGGCTGAGGCTGAAAAACACAAGGCATGACCCAGCAACCTCAAAACAGAAGGAAAGAGTAGGTGTGCCTCTGAGAGTCTTTCTTAGCTTAATGTCTGATAATGTACCCAGTGGGGTCCTGAGAGGTCTCTGTCAAGAGCTGAGAGGGCAATGAGACCAGGGGCTTTACAATTGCACACACAGTTAATATTTCTGCTGTACCTGGCATGTTGGACGGTGTATATTAAGGCACATTAAGGGAATCCACTGGCTCTTTGCAAGGGAGGGATGGAGCCTGATAAACCAGAAGTGAGGGACTTCCTGCAGGGAAGGTGTGTGGAGAGGGAGAGATGTCCAGGGAGCAAACTGAGCAGTGGAGGTCTGAGCCTCAAGTGGAAGCTATGGAAACTGCATTTCACTAGACAGCAAGAAGCTATGGAAGATTAGACAGAAGTTACAGAAACTGGGAAAGCCTGGGGAGGTCCAAGGAGTAACAGAGTTATCATGTGCAACCTGGACCCTCACTCTGAGTTGGCTCACCCTGCAAGGATGGTGGGTGTGGGAGCCCTGTCCCATTCCATGTACACCTTGGAATACAGCAGCACAATCTTTGCTCTATTTTGCAACTTTTTAATTTTTTTCTGCAATCCTTCAACCTTTCCTTATCTGAGTCTTGGCTTCGTGATTTGGCATATGAGTTTCTTTCGTTCTTTACTACAAAGTCTGATGAGACAAAGTAAACCAGAGTAGAGTAAGCTGTTGGACCCTGAGTACATTCGCCCCTCATGGGGGTTCAGCCCTCTGGGATGAGGGCTTACTCAAATGATGCACCTGTCTGTCATCAGACCTGCTCTCCTCACCTTCCTCAGTCCTGTGGACTTCACCCTGTGGACTGCAAGCCCTTGCTGCCTGGCTTCCCACCCCTCTGGAAGCAGTCTTTCCTTGCTGCTCCCAGCACGGATCAGAGATTGAATGTTTGAAGGGAGACAGGGGCTGCAGGTAACGCAAGTGTATGATGAGGTAAGCAGAAGCTCAGTCTTGGAGACACAGGTAGGGACTTACTGGGTGCCAGATATTGATATGTAGAAGTCAGTATGGAGTTTGTGCTCCAGGCTTCAGGCAGGACCTGCTGCTGTCGGCAAAGGCACCATCCTCCCTTGTGGGAGACACGTCACCCCAGCTCATTCAGTTTCCCCACAAGGTCACAGAGTAGAGCAGTTTCCTGTTGCTCTCAAATATCTTCCTAACCTATCTGAGGGTGTGAGGTGTAGGTTGAAGGTTACGTAGGAAAGGTTCATTGAACAAATGATCAAATTTCCACTGCTCAGGAGTCAGGAAGCTGTTTGCATAGCCTGGATTTGGGCCTCTTTCGGCGCAGTCATGAGATCCAGTAACACATGGCTATTCTTTCCCTTTCTCCATGGTCTAGTGATAGCAGGGAATGGACCAAAACTGTGTGCATGAAGATGACTCCAACCCAAAGGTTCCCTTCCCACAAACACACCAGGAGAGCTGGGCCAAGGACAGACAGAATATGGATGCTGACCTGCAGACCTGGACCATGTCCCTTGTATCACAACTGATTCCTATGGTGGGATCCATCCAAATGCTCATCACTGCCAGCTTCCTTCCCAGCCTGGAATCCGGGCCCTCATCCTGGACTAGGGACTGACTGGTTGATGACCTGCAAACACAGGCATCTCTCTCTCCCTTAGTGATCCAAGGGTGGGAGGTGTTTGCATCAGTGGTGACAGGGATCCAGTGGGCCTCAATTTTAGGATTCAGTATTTGAGTTTGGATGATTATTTTATCATTGACTTTTCCACACCTGTTTCCCTGGCTGGCGGCAGGGCAGTTCTCACTGCAGAGGGATATTTCCTTGGGACTGCAAGGATGTGCCACAGAGAAAGCCACAAAAGACATGAAAGAAAAAGGAGGCTCTGTGATGTCATAGCTAGGCCCTGGGGATTTAGACTGTGCCTGTTTAGTGGAGGAAGGCTGAGTACCTGGTGGACCCACTTTGCCTAACTTACACACTCCACACAGGATCCAAGTGTCCAGCTCCATGGCTGGGCTTTCATGTCCCACAAAAAACACGTGCTTCAGGACTGCAGCAAAGTGGTGTTCCAGATCTCCTCAGGGACAGAGCAGAAGGTGATGGTTTAGAAATCCATGTGTTCATACAGATAGTAATGCCACCAGGGAGCCTGGGTAGCTAAGCAGCCAGAGGTACTGCATCCCTGGTCAAAGGGGGAGCGCAGGCAGGAAAACACAGGGGACCTGAAAAGAGGAATACCCCTAGGTGAGAGATGGAGGTCTGGCGTGTCACTGTGCCACTGAAAATACAGTCAGAGTGAGCACAGACACGACTTCAGCTGTGGCATTTCTCAGCATCCAAGTGCTTTACGTAGCAATCCCGACGCTTTTCTGAAGCAGGGCTTTAGTTTGCCTGATGCTCAGCATATTGCAGGCCCGGTGAGCAGCTCCCTGTAGACAGGAGCACAATCTAAATGTTGAGCTGGGGGGAGAAGTCCTCTGCTTTAGCGTGGAGACTCCCCACAAGGGGCAGGCGATGTTCCCCGAACACACAGAGCATAGCGGAGCCGCAGAGCTCTCGCCGCAGCTCAGGAGCTTTCGGCTCACACGGGTCTCGCTTGCTCTGCAGACGGAGCGATGCACACCAGGGCCACCGGCCGCCACCCGGGGAACGCGTGTGGCGCTCGGAGTGCGGGGGGTCGAGCCCCGGGCTCTGTGCTGCTCAGCGGGGCCGGGGGACCGCCGGGGCCGGGACATCCGCCCCCGGCCCCGCTCCGCGCCGCATGCCCGCTCCTGCCCGCCGTGCCGAGCACCGGGACCACCCCGCGGGGCGCGGCGCCGGGGCCTCTGGGGAGCAACAAGGGGGGACGAGGGGGCCCCTTTCGGATTTCAGCCCTCTCTCTTCCCACCACGGCCCAAGTGCGTCTGCGGGCGGTCCCGCGGTCTCCCCCGGCCCCGCGGCGCCAGAGCCCGCCGGTCTCACAGAGATCCCGCTCCGAGCCCACAGAGACTCCTGGGCCGGGAAAGGGGCAGTCCGGGCCCTGGCCGGGGCGGGCCCCGCGGGTCTGCGGGCCGGTCTGCGGGCACGGCACGGCACGGCACGGCACGGCACGGCACGGCACGGCACGGCACGGCCGCAGCGCGACGGGGCCGGCACCTGGCCAGGGCCAGTCCGTCGGGGCACTGGAGCCCGCCCGTCGTCGCCGTCCCCGGACCGCTCCCTTCGGGCTCGGCCGCCTAGAGCGCTGGCCCGGCCCGGGCCGGTTGCGGGGCCGGCTCGTCCCGTCCGTGATCCCGGGGAGGGCTGTGCCGAGCGACGCGGCCCCGTCCCGTCCCCACAAAAGCACCCTTGTGCTGGCCCCGTAATTGCTAATCATCAATCACCATTAATAACAGCTGATGAGGCGGGAGGGGGAGGCGCCTTCCCAGGGGCCGGCCGCGCCGGGGGAGCGGGGCGCTTTGCCCCGGCGGAGCGGGCGCTGAAGGAGGAACTCGACCGTGATGTGCGGAAGATGGATGAGAGCAGAGGGCGACACCCCCGCCCGCCTCCCCTCCCTCCTCCCCCTCCCCTCACGGCCCGGCCCGGCCCCCCCGCGGCGGGGCGGGCGGGCGGCTCCGAGCGCGCCTCACTCCGCCGCGCCGAGACAGCGAGCGGGCGGGCGGACGGGCGGCAGCTCTCGCTGGGCGCCGGAGCCCACCGGAGGC